ACTGATACGCGCCGACACTGAATGCGTGAAGTATTACCGATGAATACTGTGTCAACTCTTTCTGGAGTACTGTCACACAATTCTGGGCTATTTTTCGGGAACCGATTGTCGGGAACAATAGATCAAATGGATTGGTCTTCACTGTCAGCACATCAAACCCTTTCTCGAGGTAGAGATTACTATACTTGTCCACGTGTTTGTCCTGTGCCATCAACCACGTCAACAGTACCACTAATGGTCGACTCTTCAACCCATTGGATGAGTCTTTGCAATTGGCATCGATGGTAGATAATTGGCTCGACTGATAGTTTAATTGCTTCAAAGCTATACTCTTTGCCAACATTCTGGTCGACAAATCAATCGCTGCCTAAATTTCAAATTGAATTATAAATTAAAAAATTACTGTTATATTAAAAATATTATTATGTTATATTACAATTAAAAGTAAATTTAATAAATACATTACCTGTCTGTTTGTGACAGCGGTTGTCGAGAAGTTGGCTTTAATCACAAAACAAGAGCCCCTTTGAATGACTTTAATTAAAATCATCTTCAAAATTTAATTACTACTATTTAAAAATCAAAGCACTTATACTTTCAATAAATTGAAAGTTCAAAACTTATTGCCACAAAATAACGTATTTATATATAGAATTTCAAATGCGATATAAACTTATTAAGATTAGTTCATATAATAATAATTATTAATAATGTATAAAAATAATCTAACAAATGATAAAATATATATAATAAGTGAAATAGTGTTGAAGTTGTATTCACTTTCTGCACAGCAATAGTAGGCTTGAGTTGTCTTTCAAGCACTTAGGAAGCAATGGATACAAGAATTTGAACACTCGGTCGACGAATACTTCACAATTGCATAACCAATACGTGTTAAATGAAATACAATCGGCGTTTGATTTCAACTCTCCCTATCATACCATTCACTGGATGTGTGACTCAAACACCTAAAAAACCAATTAAATCACAATCAACTCCACTGTCGATACGATTACTGATAGTATATCTTTACTAATATGATAGACGTGTCAAAAGTTTTAGACGAGTGAACAAAAGTGAATGTTAAGACAAAAAGTGTATTTTACAGGTAAATTAAATTAACAATAATGCAAATCCGGTGTTCAGACAATAACTGGCGTTCACTTGTATCTCAACTATAATTGCATGGCATGAAAGTCACGCCACTGTCGTCGGCGCACAAAACCAGTTATGATTGCATGCGCTTAACGTGTGATATATAACTATTACATAACTATCTCTCGTGACCTTCACATCAGTCTCTATGCACTTCAGAGTCTGGAGTCCACACTTGCGCTCACAGTCTGAGTGTCCGTACTTTTAACCAAACAATTAACCCTTTATTATGTCTTTCAATGCATTTTATTATTAGTTTACATATAGTTTAGGTTCATGTGTTGACATTAGACTAAAATTATTGACTTGATCTAAATTTGCAAAATTTGCAAAATTAACAAAAAATTGAGTATAAGTGTTAACACAATTGCAAACAAAGTTTATTTTAAAGGCTTTGAAATATATTTTTAACAATTTTTTGTTTCGAAACCTTGAATTCAAAAATACATTTATTATATAACATAACTTAATTGTATGGATATCAGTAGATAGTGTTATTACTTGTTGTAATACCGGTCTGGTATTATGTTATGTTTGGCACTGAAGGGTTAGCCGCCAATATGAATATGTAAGCAATTAAATACACACTTTTAAACATTTGAAACATTATTCTAACAGCAAAACCTTTTTTATATAAAAACCGTACAAAACTTAAATGCAATTAATATGTAGAAAACATATTTGCAATAATATATTGAAGCAATGCTTTTAGTGAATAGAAAAATATTAATGTGGATTAAATCTGATTCACACTTTTTGCTAATATTCCCAAATTCAGACTTAAATAAAAAGACTTTTTAGTCATTTTATATTCCCTGACATTATTTAACGATTAACTCACTTTAAATGGTTATTATTGTTTGTATGTTTGCGAGTATTTTAATCATATTTTCATTAATGTTATGTATAATTGTGGTAAGGGTTTTACAAACTACATAATATGCATACTATGCAACTGTATATGGCATGTGAAAAATAATTTAAAAGTTAGAAAAATAGTCTATTAGTCACTTATAAATTGACCATGACAACTATTTCATGTACAAATTTTAACAATATCATCAATAATTAATGTTACAATACTTATAAATAACATGTGTTTATTGATAGAGTGAAGTGAAAATGAGTTATGCTTTTGGGAAACAAAAAACATTTCAATCATTCAATTAAACCAATGATTTATAAAGTATTTTCAAATATATTTTCAAATTAAAGTCAATTCAAACCATTGGTTTAGAATAGTTTGAAAACTTTGGAAAACTATTTGGAAATTCATTCAAAAACTTTGAGACAACATATGATTTGAGACGTGTTTTATGTATAGAAAACACAAACTCTTTACCAAAAATACAATTTCAATGTTTGTTAGAAAAAAGTTATTTTAATTATTCAAATGAATTAACAATTGATTTAATGGTTGATAATTGAGACTCAAGAAGAAGGAGAAGACATGTATGTATTGGTAGAGTTGAGTGATTCCATACGTATTCCTCCGCATCTGTTTGCCATCAGTCAAAGGGAAGCCATTTCTGATGAATTGAACCGAAAGCTCGCGAATCGGGTATTGATTTAATGGACATTCAATTGTCATTCAATGGTCTCTAAGATATGAATCAATTGATAGGTAATCATAAACACCGGACTTTGTATTTGTCTCTTTGACATCACATCTATTGGCAAATCATTTCTCCATCAAAGCGATGGCGCGACTCATACCGAAGGTTACCATCATTTGTGTCTAACGAAGACTTGATCCACCATTTGATGTGATAATTGAATGCCTTTTTTATATGCGATCCACAGTTCACTTCCGGTTTGTGGTGTTTCGGCCATTCATTGGCGAAGTAATTGTCGGCAAAATCAGGTCGTGTTCTCGCGATGGAGT